CGACTACGACTACGATGACTACGACGACGACGACGACGATGAGGAGGACTGTGATGGCGACTGTGGCGTCGTCGTCGTCGGCGTCGTCGGCGTCGCTCCTCAAAACGATGGAAATTCAAAGGCTTTAAAGCAGAGGGAGAAAATAGGTCGGTCTCTCACCGCCCCTAACCATATACTATATGTTACATGGCATCTGTATCGTATAAGAGAGAGAGAGAACAAGAGAGAGAGAGATAAATCGTATGGGTATTTTATTTTCCTACGATCCTATAAAAAAAAAGAAGGAAATTTATTTTTTTTTTTTTATACATATTTGAATTTTTTCATTATTATTCATGGATATTTTTTTGTATTATTTTTTTTTTTTTATCTTTCTTTGTTACGTATTCTTCGAATTTTTAATATAATTTTATATATTCTTAATTTAATATATTCTTGCATTTAATATATTCTTTAATATATTCTTAATAACATGTTCTCATACATATCTTATTAAATATATTTTTCGTTTTTTATTTACATTCTTTTATTGTTAAAAATTATTTGATAATTTCTGCAAGGGATATTTTATTCGATAAACTTTATAGATTTAAGATATATGGTTTAAATTTATCCTGACGTTACTTTTTATAATTATTAATCCCTACATATATAATTATATTCCCATATATTTTATTTTTACTTTTATTTCCTTCGTTTTATCTTTCAATAGGTATTTATATATACACATATATCTTTCGATATTTTATACTTATATTCTACTTTATCCCCTCCCCCAATTTTTTCTAATTCTTATTTTACTTTTCTATAAATATATCACACAATTACTTATTTATTTTGAAAATTTTAAACCTACAGCTTCATTTTATACATTAGTATACATTTAATACTTTTCTATTTTACTTTTTAGTATCTTTTTTCTTTTCCATTTCTTTATTTTCCTTTTTAACACACTCACATACACACACACATACACTTACGTCTTTGATATTTCCTAGTTTTCCTTCTTCGATCTTTATCCTAATATTCCTATTGTTTTTCTTTCTTCTTTATATATATATATATATATATATATAATATTTTTTTTTCATTCATTTTTATCTCTCGAAAAGAAAATATGTACTCTCACCTTTCAACGTTTAGAGATATTTCACCGCCTTTCGAATAACCTACCACGAAGCAACGAGTTCCTGAAAGGAATTCACGAAAAAGAGCAGTGACTTTGTTTTCTTTTTCTTTCTTTTTGTTTCTCTTCGTTCTGGATCAGACGGATCCCTCTTGTTCTTGGTACTTATCCAACGTTACTAACGCACGAGTTCTCCCTTTATCTCTATCTTCATCTCTTTCTATTTTCCTTTATCTATCTATCTATCTATCCATCTATCTTTCACCTCTTCGAACCACCCTAATCCACCCTAACCCCCTGCATCTTGCTATTCCCTCAACCTCCATCACCACTACTACCACCTGCATCACCAACCGAGGTGTTTGCTTTTTTTTCTTTTTCTTCTTTTTATCCCCCACCCCATTTTTTCCCTCCCCCCTCCTTTCCTCGCGTCCTATCACTATCTTTCATTTTTTTTCCTTTTCATTTCGGTTTTTTCTTTCTTCCTTCTCTTTTCATTCTTTTTCTTTCTATTCATTTCTTTTTTTTTTTTATTATTCTCATTTCCTTTTCTTTTAGTTTCTTATTTCAGCGACTACCGAGGATGAGGAAGACAAGAGACTTCGTAATTAATCGGAGACCCTGGTCGTTCGTAATTAAGAAACTTCGTCTTGTTTGTCTTACGTATATCACGTTAAAGTATTTAGAATGAAACATGGGATTACTTTAATTCTCAAGCGTGACTGAATTTATCCTTTTCTTTATTTCTTCCTTTTTTTTTATCTACCTGTCTATTTATATCTCTCTCTCTCTCTCTTTCTATATATCTGTGTGTGTTTTTTTTTATCTCGTTTTATTAGATTCAAATAAATGAGATGTTATTACGAAAAAGAACCAAGGAAAAGCATGCAGCTAAGATTGGTACAAAAAAAAACATATGTGCATATCACACAAGTTAGAAGTGAAGCCTTTAAAGAAACAAGTTTCAAAGGATAATTTATTATATAATATTATTATAATATTATTTGTACTTATAATTTGTAATGATTTATGTAATTATTAATTTAATTATAAAACTGTGCGCCTGTTCGTATGCAACTCTCCAGACACACTTTGAAAATGTTGCTTACGAGCGCTATCTACTTGTACGGAATTTTTTTGCAGTCAAAACTGTTTATACAAATATGTATGACGGGTTGTCTATCTTTCGGGCAGAAAAAAAATTCCGTCCTGACAGATGGCGCTCACAAGCAACATTTTCAAAATGTATCTGGAGGGTTGCATTCATACAGGCGCACATTTTTATAATAATTACAAAGAAATAAAACACTTAAAAAAATGTTAGCAAATCAAATATTTTTACAAATAATGAACTCTAATATTGTAATTAATTTATGCATATTTTTAGAATAATATTTAATATTTTATATGAAATAAAAATAAAAAATCATGTATGCAGATCACACGTGTTAAAAGTGAAACCTTCAAAAAACTAAGTTTCGAGAGAATGAGACGAATACAGAGTATCAAGAGTAAGATAATTGTCACATTATTTTATTATAATATTGTTAACATATACATCAAAAGGAACCGGTGTTTTATGTGTTCTTAGATCACAATTTTGTTTATAAATATATTTAACACTTAAAAAATCCTATTAGTGGTCCGCGGGATTGAAATTATGAATTTAATGGTCCGTGAGGTCAAAAAGTTGTCCGACCAGCTGATAATATCATTTACAATTAAATTGGTGAATTTATATATTTAGGTATAAATAAATTATACATATAAATGTATAAAATATTTCTTTTTCTCACTATAACTTAGTTTAAAACACAATGTACGTTCCAATAACACTGTTTAGAGTTAAACTGACGACAAGAGAATAAAAGTGAGATGGTGAGATAAAGTTTATGTTATTTGAGTCATCTCTCTTTCTACTCTCTTTCTCTTTCTCTCTCCTTCTCTTTTCCACTCTCACACATACATTTTTATCACACTCTCTTTCTTTCACCTTCATCTTTGTTACGTGTCAGCTCTTGGCGACGACATCTCGAAGTCACCAGAGCTAGCTAGAGCTCTATTTCTTTTCTTTTCTTTTATTTTCATTTCTTTTCTTTTTTCTCTTCACTACTCGAGACCTAAAGAGTAAGAAAGAGAGAAAGAGAGAGTAGTATTACTTTCAAGACTTTTAGTATGACACCCTCGCGTTGCTGCTACAAACACTTGCCCTCCATTTCGCTTCTCTAGAATCTACATCAAGTCGGAAGGGGTGTGTTTCTTACCTTCGTGGATTTGGATCGGCTTCAGGAGTGGGTAGGATAAGATAATAAGGGGTGAAACGTGACCGTATTACTCGGAAAAATAGTATGATGAACTTTTAAATGCTAGTTACACTTCTACTTTATCTCTTTCAACTTTGTCATTTATTTTTATCTCTTTTTATTTATCCAATTTTAAATTTACTAATAAATAATTAGAAAGAGAGAGAGAGAGAGAGAGAGATAATAACAATTATGATGATGATAATGATTACAAAATTACATTGAATATTTTTATGAATATTATTAAGGAAACATCTGTTTTATTAATGAAATATTTTTAAATGTATACTTGATTATTAATTTTTTGTTTGTTTATTTACTATAATCGATTACAAAGATCGACAAAATACCTACCTGATATTTTATTATGCAAATTTGGAACACGTTTTTAATTTAATAACGAATATTTTATCTTTTTTATTCCTTTTTTTTTTTTTTAATGAACTTATTCGACGTGAAAATCCAAAATTAAAAAGTATAATAGATATATTAATCAAAATAATAATGAATTTATACATTAAAATATTATCAAGGAGAAGTATATAAATATCTATATACAGGAAGCTTTAAGAGAAGGTCTTATTCCTACTTATTTCCATGTTTCTCGTTGAAGCGTTGGACTGTAAACCATTTCCAACTAATATTACTATGAGCGACTTTGCACTGGTGCACGAGGAAGACGATAAAGTGGTTCGAATTTACGGAAAACTTATCTACATATATAAACGTACACATATGCACATATATACATATACATGTACACGCATGCATACATCGTAAAATTATATTTACGAGAAGAAGTCAATTTTGTATATCACTGTTTTATTTATCTTCGCAAAGTAAAATAAAGAGAGTAAAAGAGAGTAAAAGAGAGAGAGAGAGAGAGAGAGAGAGAGAGAGAGAGAGAGAGAAAAAAGAAAGAGATCATTTTTCGTTTTCAATGATATTTATAAAATAATAATTTATTATTTATTAAAGTATCATGATTAATATGCAAATATGTAAGTTTTGTTATATTAAACAGGGTTACACACCTTCTTGACGTCAAAGAAAACTATGACGTTGAAGGTTACGTCAAAAGAAAACTTTTCTTAATACGCGAGTTTTTCCAAACACCAATTCTTGGTGTAATCACTTAAATATAAATGCGTTACACATTTATTGCATATATAGTACATTAATTTTACACTCGTTACGTTCGAAAATAAATGATTTATTATTGAACTAATTAACGTCGTTTGAGTTTAAATTTATTTGTAACTGATCAGTGTAAATACAGTATACTTTGAGTATAATTAATGTGTATACTTATTTAGAAATATTACAAATTGCAAATCGCGTAATCCTTGGACAGATTAACATTTACTCATATAGAAATATAAATGAATGTATATAGAAGTTTAGTAAATAAAATAAAATAATAATAGATAAAAGTATGAACTAAAATTTATGTCACATTTGGATTTATATATTTATTATTATTCATTTCTATTTACAAATATATCTATATCAATATTATATTGAAATATTTATATGTTTTTAAACATATATTTTCTTTTGTTTTTTTATAGACTTTCTGCGTGGTGTCGAAGAGATTTCGAAAAAATTACATCCATAGGTTCACTGCGACCAATAGTTGGTTTCTATTTTCCCCGTGGAATCCTATAAGACGGTGTTGCATCTTCCTGAGTACTAATCAGTACTTCGATTACATGGTCATGGCTACCATACTACTTAATTGCGTCTTCCTGGCCATGACCGAAACCGTCGAAGAAGCCGAGTAAGTATATTATCATTCAATTTTATTATCATTTTTTTCTTTTAAATAAATTATACTTTACAAATAATATAAAATATTAATTAATAATTAATTTATTATTATTATTATTATTATTATTATTATTATTATTAAATAATAATTATTAATAATTATACTCTCTACAAAAATATATCAAAGCAACCAATAAATACTATTATATAAATAATATTATATATATAACATAATTTATACTTTAAAAACATTGCGCGTAGTCTAATCTACCACTTTCATACATAATAATAATAATAATAATAAATAAATAAATAAAAAGTTATAAAGTAACATATATACGTATTATAATTTTTATATTAATAATTAATATATTACATTATACAATACATTTAAATAATATATAGTGCACCCGAATAGTCGATGATTCCACATATAAATATAAGTCAATACAAAACATATAAAAATTTATTCTTTGATACCTCGTTTTTGAGAAATTCATGTTTATAAATTTTTAGAAGCACGCGTATATTCCAAACTGTTTATTTAACAACGTGTACCAACTATAAATGTTTTCTTTCGCATAACATTTCGTATACATTGTCCTTCGCAAAGTTTACATGTGTCCTTCAATCGTGCGACTTATATATTCTTAGCTTAGTTTGTCTCTATCAGTTGAACTGTTACGATGACGTATCCTCACAGTACAACTAAGCATTAGAAATAACGATTTTTAAATTGACGCCATTCGAAAGTGGTGATAAAGGGGGTGAATAGAAATTAATTGAGGATGGTATACCTTTTATGATTATCATCAATCTCATGGTATAATAAAAGGTATTTCATTTATAAATTTTTAAACCATGAATTTCTTGAAAACAAGATGTCGAATGAATAAACGTAACATCCTTTTTTTCGAATTATTTTTAATTGTATATAATCGTAACTGAATACACTCAGTGTCGAGTTATAGGAGTATTCGTAATCCTTTACTGTCAATTTGAAATAATCGATATTTATTTCCGATGTAATATTTTAAAGTTCTAATATATTGAAGAAATATACTAAGCTTTTAAATTATTATGACATTAGTTTTTGTTCGGATGCACTAATTGGTCTGAAAATTAATTTCAAACGAGATCTAGTCGTATCATTTGATAATGCACCAATGAATAAAAGAAAGAAAAAAAGATAGAAAGAAAAAGAGAAAGAGTTTTATATGTTAAGTTTTGCAAAAAAATTTTTTTTCGAGGTTAACTTCTTTTTTTTTTTTTTGCAAATATACAATATATATCTTTCCTAAATTTTAAATTTGNCTTTTTTTTTTTTTTGGTAAAATAATGCGTCTATTCGTAGGGGTTTCTTTTGTATGCCGATCATACTTTTTTTAAAACTATCTTATCGATCAAAAATGACTGTCTCTATTTGAAAAGAATATTAAGCGTTAAATTTTACTTTTTCTTCTTTATCTTTCTCTTTTTCAAGAACGAAATTTCAAATACTTTTTGAAGAAGAACGATTTCAATTATTCAGCTTTCGTATCTTACTCTATTCTGACGAACTTATGTTTCTTATTAGCATGTAATTATCGTTTTAAGTTTTAAAAGTTATTCATACCAAAAGTATATCTAATATACTTTCTTCAGTTATGTGACATTAGATAAGAAACTATTATATTTGTGCCCATAATTATAAAAGTGGTCTAAGTCAAAATTAAAAAAAAAAAAAAAATGAGTTTATTAGTTATTACGTACCACATTATTTTAAACTAAATAAATTCAATATAATTTTCACGATATTGTTAAAAATGAATCGTCAGATAATGTTTGTTATTTCAATATTATATAGAATTCATATAATGTTCAAATATAAATCTTTAAATATCTCGAAACAAGAGATACATGACTTAGATCACTTTCATAATTATGGACATATTTAAGATTTAAAGTTTTGTTGATATATTTTATATTAATCGAGATTTTACTTGATCTCACTTAGTATCACTGTTATTAAAATTTATATATTATTATTCATATTATTCGTATTAAAATTCTTAATAATTAAGTTTAATTAACTGCATGTATTTTAAGTTTCTTAAAAATTCTGAAAACTCATTAAAATATTGTAATCTTAACAATAATATACTTCCAATCAAATTTGTATCAAAATATTGTGCGATTAAATTAATTAAATATTTTGACAAATTATCGATTTTTATTTTAATAATTTTTCAACATGCACTCATATACATATATAAAACTTATCATTTTTGTGATAACATTTTATCTATTATCATAATCATTAAATTTATATACAAAATGTTTTATGATTAAATTAATTAAATTGGATTTTAAAAGTAATTTTTCAACGTATATAATTTAATTTATATAAATAACATTATTGTAATCATCATTATCGAATTTACATGAAAATATTTGACAATATTATTACTTATTGTTAAATATATTTTTGTATTTGTATAGAATATTTTGATTACCCATAAGCTTATAATTTAATTACTTTTGTTAATCATTTTGACAGATATATCTTCCTAGCCATATACACGGCGGAAATGGTGATAAAATCAATAGCTAAAGGATTTATATTGAACAAGTACACCTACCTACGAAATCCCTGGAATTGGTTGGATTTTGTGGTGATAACTAGTGGTTACGCAACGATCGGTATGGACGTTGGAAATTTGGCTGGCCTTAGGACATTCAGGGTGTTGAGAGCTTTTAAGACTGTATCCATTATGCCAGGTAGGTAAGATTATTATTATTTATAAAATAACTTTTATAACATAAGAAGAACAATTTTTGCAGATAATCATAAAGTTATTTCATACAATTTATTTTATAGAACATAATACAACTTTTCCATTCTAAATTCATTTTTCAAATTTAACATTTATTCGTATAGTAATAACCAATTTAATTTTGTTGTTGTTATTCATTACAATCAAGTTTGTTTAAAGTTAATTTATATGTTTTTTAAATTAATTTTCTTTACAAATTTTTTTGAAGGTGTACTAAAATTTATTAACAATGTATAAACAATTTTTATATACTGCCAAAGTATTTATAGACAATTTTGTAAAACAATTATTTCCTTTTCGAGATTTTTCTTTTCGTTTAAAATTAATTTATATGTTTTATGTTTATATGTTCCCTTGTTTTCATTCATTTTCTTTACAAATTTAATAAAAACGTACTAGAATTTATTTTAAATGTATAAAAAATTTGTACATAGTGCTTAAGTATTTGGATGATTTTGTAAAATAATAATTTTCCTTTACGAGATAACATAATTGAATTTTGTTTGTAAAAAAGGTAAAATTACAATATAATTTAGAACTTGTACAAGATTTGAAAGAAATATAATAGATATTTATAATCATTTAAGAATGAAACGTTCCACGGTTAGAAATTTTTAGCACAATCTTTATATCTGTCTGTTAGTTGAACGTAATTGATGTCCTTGGAATGGAAAAGATCGTTAGTTGCATCCTCCAGTCGTTGCTTTTTAAATAGAAACGATCTGTTCTCATCTCCGTCGAGTTGAAATATATATAAAAGGGCTAATGTTGATTTATATATACATATGTACATATACGAATTAATCGATCAGCGAATAGAAAAGGAAAGAACACGTGGTTTTACATATGTATATACTAATGCATAGATACATACGTACATACATATGCGCATCCTTAAATATGTATTTAGAAATCCAGGACACGTATGCGGGTTGTGTACACTTATTATTAATTGCAATTTCAAATCAGCCGTATCATGTCCATCGAGGCTTGACTAATTCACAAATTTCAATTGGCGATTTTAGCGAAATATCCTCCGATAAAACGATTCATTCCATCGTCAGATTTCAATGATAAAATTCGAATCGGCTTGATGATCATGGAAATTTATCGACAAACGAAAACTAAAGAAACGTTTTCCAATACTCAATTTATGTTTCTATTATAGGCTATACTTGTTTATACGTATCTGTGTGTATAATAGTATTATTAAAATAATTTTACTAAGAACAAAGAAAATACAAAATACATCACAATATGAAATCGTTTAAAAAAATAATTAAACCTATTTATTGTAATGAGAATAATATAAGAATTAGTTGATAAATGTTGTTCTCATCCTTTTTTTTAAAGTTTTAAGACTATGTAGAAAAAATATAAATGAGGTTTGATAAAAATAAACAATTGTTTAATATTATTTACTAATACCGGTAAAAATTAAAAATAAATTATTAAAAATAAATCCAAAAAATTTTCTTGACACTCTAATAAAGTTGCGAAATGAAATATTTTACACTAAACTGTAGGATTAAAATAATGTTACTAAAAATAATAAAGCACATAAATCATAAACCATTATAATATTAATAATGAACACTATGACATTAAATAAAATTAATACAATTTAATTAAAATAAGCATTTATATATATATTGTATAAATTGTTGTCATTTAATTAACTCATCGTAATGGCAACTTTTATAAATATAATTTAATTTCTGAAAAACATGGAAATAACAATTTCTTTATTTTTAACTAAAGTAAAAACTTGAAAGAACATAATTTAGGATGTTATCATCAACATGGAAACAGTTAGGATATTTTACGAGAAAAGTTTCTGAAATGTTTTGGTGAAACAGAAAGGACGAGGGTTGTGATACTTAGAGGTTACAACTAGACCTAAAAGTGGTAGCAATGGGGTTGGATTTGGGGTAAGTGAAGAGAGAGAGAGAGAGAAAGAGAGAGATAGAGGGAGAGAAAACATTTAACATAAAGTTCATGACACAAAAGTTGCTTTGGAAATGAAGATTCATTTTGTATAAATAACTCCTTGTTTATATACGTACATTGCTTTAATTCTTAACTTATTTTATTTCTGTTTGTTTACGTGTAACTTTTATTTGTTTTCTAAATTATGTTATATTAATTTTTTAAAAAATGTAATTTAAAAACAGGGTACATTTCTATCATAAAGCATGTGAAGTTTCATCATTTTGTCAACGTTATTATTTTATTATGAAATCAACATTATTATATAAGTTATATTATTATGATATTTATTGACTGTTTAAAAATTTTGTCAAGAGACTGTAAAGCTGCTCTTTTTTGATCGAAAATAGACGCAAAATTGCCTGCCTTCCGTGAAGATTCAATAAAAATTTATTCGATATTGCATCATCAGTTGTCTGCGCAAATATTTTGCAACGTATGATAAAGTATGCATGGTTTGCGTCAAAATTGAATGAATAAAGATCAGTTTTTTTTTTTTTTTTAAATATACTCAGTATAACTTGCGTAATATTTTTGATTTCTTAATAAAATTATTACATTAGCAAAAAGCAGAAATGTTTTATAATTGAAATGCATTTGATGCATAAAATGCATAAAATGCTCATTTTACTTCGTTTTTTTCATTTAATTTTTTTTTCTATTTATTTACATAATTCTATATATATATATATATTACATAATATACAGATAAAAGCCATATACTTTCGTTAATATTTCATTTAAAAATAAAAAGCTCATTTTTTTAATTTCAGCAAATTTGTAAAAATATTCGTAAATAATTTATTACGTATAAACATTTTATTAATAATTATAAATGTTTATTACGTATAAACATTTTATCACAATTATTTGATATATTTTTATCATAATTTTGTGATACAATTTTTATTACATTTATAATAGAATTTTTTCGGACAAATTATTTGCAATCTAAAATATTGTATTGTAATAATTATCATTTGTAGAATTTTGTTGGATTTTTCTATTACTTTTTCGTTAGGTTTTTATATTAAAAAATAAGCAAATATCTTAAAAGATTAAAAAGTGCTTTTATGTCAGTCCTGACTTTATCTTTTACAGTCTTGTATTTTTTTTAAAAGTCTACCACTTAAATGAAACTATTTGTACTTGCTAAACCACTTTCATTAATGATATTATTATATTAAATCGTTGATTCTTCGTTTATTTGGAACGTATTTTCGAAAAGCATCATTATACGATAATTAAAGAGAGAGAGAGAGAGAGAGAGAGAGAGAGAGAGAGAGAGAGAAGGAAATTTTATCAAAGTTAGAAGATTTAGGTTTGCGATAAGGACTTAATAGCTCATTAAAAAATTAAGTTCTAATGTAACGTCTAATACGTTGATAGATTTTAGTATCAATTAATAAAATCATAATATTTCGTACACGCATATTCAAGGATTTCTCAAAAGTCGTTTTACTAATATAAAAATAAACTGTGATATTTAATTGTTCATTTGGAGATATGAATGTTTGATTAATATAAACTTTTATTAACAAAATTACGTGTGCTCGAACGTTTACTGCAGTCCATCCCAAAATTATTGTTTATCATAATTTTTTAATTTAATCAAATAATTTTCGTCACGTACCGTTTACTCGAATTAAACCTACCAATCTGTTCGAAAATAAATTTTCTTTTCAATCGAGTGAGAAGAAACAAATTGAATTTTCTGCCACACGACTGACTAATTTCTTCCGACCGAAATTTATCGACGAGGGAATAAATGAATACGAAAAAAAAAAAAAAAAAGATAAATATATTATATTATCAACGAGGGATGAAATTTCAATATTCGAAATGAATTAACCGATGCGTCGAGAGGATGGAAGAAAGAATTCTACCCTCCTCCAATTTTTATCTTTACTTTTTAAGTTATTTCCATAATATACTTGCATATGTGTATGCAAATGACTTGCACATATGTGTATATATATATCACTTTTATTCAGTTTAACATTCATTCGTTCAATTCGATGATGTGTTGGGAACACAAAATGATATTCGTCCCCAGTGGCATCTCATCTATCAGTAAAGATGGTGAACCATTAGAGGACTATAATTTTCTTCCTTCCCCTCCTACCCTTTTCTCTCTCATTCTCTTTTTCTTTTCATATGTGTGTGTGTGTGTGTATGTATTTCTCTGTCTTTCTGTAATTCTCTTTCTCTTTCTCTTTCAGTGTGTGTGTTTCTATCTCTTTCTGCATATGTGCATATGTGTGGGTTCACTTTCTGGTCTATGGGGACGTCAAATGTTCAATCAATTACGTTTGGATGTATATATAAGCGTGATCGTACAGTGTACGACGAGTAATGCGCGTTTACACGCGGGAAATAGATAGTCGTTTCTGGCATTTGATAGATGTACCTTTACCTCTTCTACTGTGTGACTATCACTCTCTTTCTCTTACAAACGAGCAAGTGAACGTTCATTCTAATCGTCGTAGTCGTCGTCGTTGTCGTTGTCGTCGTTCTCGTCGTCGTCGTCGTCGTCACTTTGAACATAATTTATATTCGTACAAGACCGTATCTGGGGTGACAATGAAATTGTTTGAAAATTGAGATTTCTCTTAACATTAACTTTAGTCACCCCTTTTCTATTCATTTAATTTTATTTTGTTATGTTTTTGTAATTCGCGAAAAAATCAAGATATTTTTGTATTTATTTACGTGTTTTAACTAAACTCTGCTTACCCTTCTCCCTTTTGTGTTTTTATCGATTTATTTATTGATAAAGTTATTTGATTTTGTAAAATAGATGACGTAGTTTTTCTAATATGTATTTTTTATATTTTATATATTATTATTATAAAATATATAAATATTAATATATAAAATAAATATATTAAAATAATATATACATATTTAATATTTTTTTTTTTATATATTTTATTTATNTTATATATTTTATTT